GAGAGAAGGCACCCCCCTCTCCATTCTCTGCAGCCAGTGGTGAAGGTACCTCCCGGACGGGTGAATGGCGCCGCAGATGCGTCCTCCTATCGCAGTGACGATAATGAAGCTCTTTGTTCAGCTGTGTGAATGTGAAGTGTGCAATCTCCGATGATCTCACCATTTCCTATTTATTCTATACTTACCTGAATACGCCAAGTATTGCAGCTTTTTAATGCATATGCAAGCCACTAAAATGTCCTTTTGTGAGACACTTCGCTAAAAGGCCGCTTTTGATGCGTGTTCTTCATCTCCTCTCCAAACTGAATTAGACTGCTTCCTTCTTTTTAAGACACAAGCAACTCACTATTTAGATTCTTTGGCTTTGATTTGGTAGAACAGCCCAACAGGAAGAGACCATGTTCTCTTTTTTTCTCCATATTTCTGAAGGCAAACTTGTACTGATTTGTTTTGATTTACTAACAGAATTATGTTCCTGCCACAGACACAGGCTTCCTTTATGTCCTCTCAATCATCGGTCTATTTCTGGGGACAGAGTTTTCCCGAGGAAAACTGAAATCCCTCTGTTGGTGGCTGTGTGCAGAGCCACGGATGTGTGCCTGGCCGAGAGCTCCCGGGGGCTGGGGGGAGAGGAGCTCCCCTCTAGGCTGAGCGCTCCTTGTACGCCAGCCACCGCTAAGCTCAAACCAAGAGACCAGGTGACATTTTTTAAAGATATTCAAGAAAACTGAACACCCAGTCTTTCGTGGGGCAAGTGTGTATTTGACATAATGGGCCGGGTCACGTGTCCTAAAAAAATCGGAACTTCCCTGCAGTTTTCTTTTAAGTGAAGCGTATGGGTCACGCCCTTCGCAATCAGGGGTGGGTGGGATCAAACAGCCCCGAACTGTCAAACCAGCAGCACTGGAGCGGTTGGGCCAGGAGCGTTTACATCTCCTTGTTCTATTCTTCTCACAAGCGTGGGGCCACCCTGTCCTCGAAAGAGCACAGCCTGCAACTCAAAGGCAGCCTTAGCTTGGAACGTGGGGTGGCGCTGAGGGCAGCTACTTGGTTCCCCTTGGAGCAAGAGCAGCCGAGAGCAACTGGTCCCACCCTAGACTTCCAGCGAGAGGACCAAGTTCTCCCGGGGTAGCAGAGGTGCTCAGAATTACACCTGGGACCATTCGAGATTATAAGTGAACCTGGGAAAAACGTACCCATCCTCTCCATATCTCCTTGAGTGCCCTGTAAAATCTCAGTAAAGGCCCCTCCGATGTTGCGAGATCCCTGAATGAAAACGAATTCCTATGGTACAACTTGAAAGACACAATTCTAGAGATGTTATGATATGATGGGTGAATCCAGTGAGGGGAACACGGGCTGCTCTGCCCGAAGTTTCAGACACCAAAAAGTAAACTTTGAGATAAATCAAAGAGAAGATGCCAGGTTTCATGATAAAAGTACTCACACCATATCCCGGTACAGAGCTAAACATATGACCCGCATATAAATTTTCTTTCTCTCTGCTTCCTCTCTTTTTAGTTTGAGCACACTGTTATGAACTTCCTCTGCAGCTCATTGGTTTGATGACTCTGTCTCTTTTCAAGGGACAATTAGCTATTTTTTAAGGACTTCCATATCAAGTAACTCACATCGTGCCTTTTTCAGAGTTTCCCCACAAAAGAGATTTTAGGAAATAGCCTGGCACAATCATTCTCTCATTTTTCCCCAATATCGAAAGCTAAAACTCACAAATAAAAAACAACAGCCACTGGATTAAAGAGAATTGAAAAAGTTCTTGTGTTTTTTCAAGTTGTCTAATTTATTACAAACTAAAAATCTCTTTCAAACTGGCACCAAGGTGGCTTTTCTTCTTGAGCTGATTAGGACCACATGAGCTCAGGAAAAGCTGTCAGATCCTGCCTCTGGCGCAGCTGGAATGATCCAACTGATTTGCCAGTATGATTTTTTTTTTTTTTTAAAGAAAGAAGCTTCATCCCCAAGTCATAAGTGTATATTCTGGAGCCCCAAGCAAAAATTATTCCTGTTCATTCTAAAAGAAGCAAAATTCCATTGTGACTCCTTTTTATGGGACCTCCCAGAAAACCAATACAACCAGGGCAGTATTTGAGTGACCATTTCCCGCTGTAGTAGGAGCTAACTCAGTGCCTTCTCTCTCCCTGTCTGGCTTGCCACTGACACATGGAGGTCTCCTTCAGGAAGTCCTCAGGGAATCACCATGATGTAGGTCCAGGCTGGAAGGTGTCTTTACCTCTTCCGAACCACTTTCAGTCTGGCCCCGGGGCAAATGAATGTTGTAGGTGAAACTTGTTTTCTCCCAACTGACCACAATGGGCTCCCAGATCTGTTTGTGGCATTGACCACAGCAAGCTAAGGCATTCAAGTAGCTGCCTGACCCCCCAAGGAGTCTGGGGGGGGGCTCCCGTTCCTTGGGGGTCCTTCCACAATACTTCCTCATGTGGCCACCTGCCAAGCCTGCCTCTCCCAAGTAGGTCTGCTCTCTTTGCTAGATGGCCTTTGGCCGGGGATGAGGAAGGCTGCACTCCTGGCCACGCTAAATTCGTATTTCTTCTTGGGAAACAGAGTCCTGTAGCCTTAGCTCCAGGAGACAAGGCCACATTCTGAGTCTTTCAGCCCCTTTCACTGCACGTAGGCGGAGCTCACTGGGGAGGGAGATGCTTTGCTGGCTGTACATATCAGAATCAATCGAGATTTTGTTTCTCTCTTTGTTTAGAAGTAAGAGAAAGTATTATAAGGAATGGGGGTGGGGGGATCTTTACATTGATTCTACAAATTCTAATTTAACTTTGGAATTCCTTTCTCACTTTGCCCCTTTCTGTGCACTCCACCCTGGAGATAACGTTTTCACTTTGCCTACCTACCTATGGTCAAAGTCCGGTCCGGAATCCCCAGCCGGCCTGGGCCGATGTCAACTACTATCTCAGTGTTTTCTTCATGTGGGATTTTGAAAAGGGGTCTCTCGGTCTCCTTGCCCTTGTTAAAAAGTACCAGATCCATCTGAAATTATTCCTTACTCCAGACACACAGCAGATAGGATTAGACACCAACCGCTGACTGGGGTGCTGTCAGTTTCTCTGTGTGAAGATAGTGGGCAGAACTTCATAACCCGTCATTCCTCTATTAATAGTTAACCAGGTTGAGAGGATTTGAATAAAAGCACATCTTGTTGCATGCAACAACGGTTTGACAGAAGAGCTGTGTGGCAGAGTGAGTATTTTACTGCTTTCAGCCTCACCACGCAGTTTTGTAGCCTGGGAACCCATGCATGCAGAATGGCACAACTTACAATCGCCGACAAAAGGAGAGTACAATGCTACCTGTGGAGCCTCGCCACCGAGAGAGGATGACAGTTCCGGCCCTTAAAAATACCCTAAACTGTTGAATGGCCTCAGAGTAGAGCATGCCCCTATTTGAAGCGCTCATCAAAGCGAATCTTTCTCGAGCAACTGTGAAGACATAATTATTAAATTTAACGAGCATCCTTTTGGTGCATTGTGAGGAAAAGGAAGAATAGGAGGAAAGCATCGGTGCTTCTGTGTTTACGGACAGAGGACGTGGAGGGAGATTTGTGATCACTTTTAGAGCCGGGAAGAGCAGCTCAGACACGACGGGATGAGCTTCAGCGGCCTCAAAATGCGGCTCTTCTCCAAAGTGACTTCCTTTTACCCATCCAACCCCCCCCCAAAAAAAAAAATCAAAATGTACTTCATGAAACTATTGTATATGAAGCACTTATTAGCCGTAATTAAATGGACAATATGAATTTACTACGTCTTTAGGACTCTGGCTTGTTCTGGTTTAGAGCAAGATGATTAATGCAAATACATATTACTTGAGATAACCATTTAGCAGCTAATTTAGCCAAATTTATTACAGCAGTTAGAGGTTTTTCATTTTAGCAGACGGAGACAAGGACATGCCAAAAAGTGGGCAACGTGGACGAGTGCACACTGCCCTCTAGTGGCCAACCAGCCGGCGCGCTTTCGGGGGCGTGGAGTCCCTGCGATCCCCAGCCAAGTAATAACCGCAGGTTTTTCACATTTCCGGCATCCTTTTAAACCATTCCTTTCCATAGCACTTTATTTCAGGGGATGATTTACTGCCCTTTCCCCTTTTACTAGCTCAGGAGTACCCAGATACAAATCAAATCAATTTCAACTTGGCAAGATTTTGGTTAAAGTATCATTTTTAACATCTGCATTTTAAAGCTCTCCTTCAGTGGGTATTTAATGGCACCGTTTCACATTACTGATTGTTTTTACTTGTTCCTTCATTTGGGGCCATATTTCAGAGCGTGTGTGGAGCTGTCACTCTGTTTGGCTCTAGCCAAGTCAATTCCGTGCCTCCCTTAGGCCAGGGTCTCTCCCTGACTTGGTCGGGGGATTTATTTTGTTCCAACAGTCAGTAAAGTCTCACCAGACTTTCCCCTGCTTGACCAATGTAAATTTTGCTCATACGCGGACTATAAATTCTGTTAGACAAGATCAAAAGGAACAGATGTAGGAGGACACTGGTTGATACTGCTTGCGCTGAGGTGAAATGATCAAAGACAGGGTAAAGCATCTTCGGAACCATTCAAATATCTGGGATCTCAAAGAGATCTACCTCGCAGCTATGAATAAATCACATACAGATTTTCCTTTGTTAGCGTCTGACGTCAAACCCATTGACAATATCCACACCACATTAGGTATTCTGTGAGCCAACAAGATTTGTAGTCCTTTTATTCTTCCTTTCACACCATGGCTGCCCAAAACGGAATAAAGTCTTGCTACAAATGCTAGTAACCCTCGCTCCACTGAATTGTTGCTTTTATTTGTCCTACTAATGGCATTCTACACCAAGCATACAGAAGGGCACCCCTGGCTTAGTGTGGTGTGGGACCCCCCCCCTTCAAAGCTTGCCGTCTTACCGAGATGATAATCATTTGGTCCCCATCTTAATACACAATGCCTTCTGTTTTGTTCTTTTTCCCCCAGTGCTGAATAAGGGCCAGTGTGTGACGAAGTACTATCGTTGGATGCAGAAGAACGGAGGATATATTTGGATACAGTCTAGTGCCACCATAGCTATTAATGCCAAGAACGCAAATGAGAAGAATATCATCTGGGTGAATTATCTTCTTAGGTATATTTTCTAATTCTTTCTCATTTCTGTGTCAGTTATAAAATATGCAGCCCATGGTTAATAGCTGACATGTCTTATTATCTTTTGGCAGTATCTGGTGTGGAAATATGTGGAAATTCTGCCTTTCCTTCCACAAGATTCAAAGAAATATGGAAAGATCAGAGCAATGTTGGAGGGGACTTCCAGGGCAGACTCACAACATTTTTAGTAATTCTTGGTCTGTCAACATTTGGGCAGCTCTGCAGAGGTTGCTTTGGTTTCCCCCACAAATGGTCAGGCTAGAAAAAAAAAAAAAAAGTTACAGACTTTTGCCGACAGATGAAGCATTCAAGAGGCACCTGCTTCTCCCCACCCCATAAACCTACACTCGTGCATTCCAATCCTTGAGAAAATTAAGCAAAAGGGCATGGGGAGGGAAAAAGTGGCAGGGTTCATTATATCCCTCCTGTATCCCATCCCTTTGAAACCTTAAGCATATTACACAGCATTTGATTCCCTAGGCATTCAAGTTTTGGTAAGCCAAGTGGGCTGCTTTGCCGGAATCAAGGCAATATCGGTATATAAATGAAAGCAATCTTCTTTTGCCTCATGCCATGGAACTTTGGTCTAGTTTTACTGCTATTTTAATGTGCCCTCCAATTTACATCCATAAATGAGGCCAGGCTCAACAAGCTTCCTAAACTCTAGCCTGCGACCCCTCTTCTCTCTCCTTCCTCATCTCTCTCCTTCCTCATCCAAAGCATTTTGCCTTTGGAGTCAACCAAGCAAAAAGAAAACCAAGACCTTGGTTGGGCTGCTTCTGGGGGCAAAATTTCCTGGAGGTCTTCCACCGTTTCTGTCATGAAACTATGAGAATGCTCGCAGCCTGGCTGCCTCCCGTCACTGTCATTCCAATTTTTGGCTTCTCTTGGCCTAAAGCCGCCAAGCAGAACCCAACACGTGGTCTGAATAGGAACGCTTCCAGTAGGTCTTATGAATGGAAGTTGGTGCCCTTTGGCTGATAATCTAGACAGGGAGTACCTGAATCCCATTTTTCTCGGAGACAGCCAAATGGAGCCGAGATGCTGACAACCATGGCTCATCAGCACACTGACCCTTCAGAGTGTGTTCACGTACATTGGTGATGACTTGAAGGCATGAATGTGCTTGCTACCAATAGCATATCAATCAGACACTAATGATTATTGCTCTAGAGAGGGCCTTAATGTGCACCACTTAAAAGAGTCTTCATTCATCTACTTTCTTTTTCCTTTTCTGACCTCTTCGACGCTACAGTAATTCTCTCCAAAGGTCCAAGTATGTGTATTTAATGTGGCTTTCTCCGAGGCCTGATTTTCATGTGAACTTTCTCCTGTGTTCGTGATATGCTCAACATGAGTTCTGATGCCAAGGACTCCTTTTACAAAGAGGTTTATGAAACAGTGGCTATGTGTAATGCAGGTTATAAAAACTCACGTGCCAAAGAGAAACCAGAATAAGGTATTGTGGCATGAACATTCTTTTGCTAGTCAAAAATGGCGTCGCGCCAAGGAGACCCATTATTATTAGAAATCAGGCATTAGCAACAGGAACGCCACAGACTGGAAGATAATCTGTCCCCCATGCTGATGGAACACAGTACACTGAAGTCATCTGTACACTTGGCCGCTCCCATTCAGGGAGATGATTTCTTGCTGTCTGGATCTTTCTTACTGCTTCATCCCTCTCAGGACTTCTGACTCTGCCCCCAAGTGGAAGGAATGAGAAGGGTTAAGGAGAGGTCAGTCCGTGAAATTTTGGATCAACACCACTGATCTGGCCTGGGATCAAATGTACAAGCTCCTAAGTGTTTGGTGATTCTAGTCCATGTAATTCCATAGGGAGAGGACTGAAGTAGTCTGGGTACCAAAGACAAGTTTTCAGGCTCAAGAGTCTCAATCTCAGACACGGTAGACCTGTGTCAGCTGACCCAAAGACTCACCCTGAGTTCAGGAGGAGAAGTCTACAAGCTGGGTGACAAGTGACTTGTGAACCCCCATCTGGACCAGAGGAGACTAACGCAGATGGGCATTAGCAGAGGAAACCACCACGTCTGCCATTTCACTGGCATCACTTCTAGAGGCTAAAGATCTAAAAGAGAAAGATGTGGCCCTGGCAAAACAGCAACTATTGAATATTAGCAAAAGAGTAACTTACTGAAGTTTCTTTCCCACAGTTCCTTTCCTTTGTTCTTCCCTGAGCAATATTTTCATTTTCTCAAAACCCTCACTTCTGGGTCATTCAGGCCTCTCGTTCCCCATTCTGAAATGACTGCTCTTCTCCTCTTCTCTCACGTGTTGGTAGAATTAGGGACTCCAGAGTGTTCAGAGACTGAGAGTCTAAGGCCAACTTCCCACCATTAGTCTCATCTCATTATCTAGAGAAAGCTCTGCCCCTGAAGCTAATTCACACTAAGGAGTAAATGCCTGATAATCCATCGTGGTGAATTAACCCTCCCCGCGACACTGGCCGCTTTAGAGCAGTTACTGAAGCAGTGACTCTCAAATATAGGGATTTCACTAGAGATTAGCAGATGAATCCGTAATCATCATCTGGTTGGCTAGCCATCCTGGAGGGTAGAAGAGGCATTTTCCACTTTGAGGCAAGAAGGCTTTCTTTGTGTCTTGAGATTACAGTAGCCCACATTTGCTAGTACATTGGGCTGGCCTTGAAGGTGGCATTTCTAGAAGATAGCTAGCTCAAACTGACCAGACACACACTCTTTTTCCAGAAGAGGCCTGTTTCTGAATTAAAAATAGAACAGAAATTAAGCACATTTGTGCAGATGGGGTTAGATCCATTCTGTTAGGGCCTCTTTCACACTGGGACTCTCCCCACTGCAATCAGAGTTCCAGCTTAACAAGCCACAGGTGTACACCACATGAACGGCTGAAAATGTGATTGTAATGGGTGTGTTGACAGTTCAGTAGCCATAATCCATGCATCCCAAGGTGCACCTGTGCATCTGTCAGATCATTAGGCGCCAGGGGCTCGGCACACCGCCCCCACCCTCAGTAGCTCTGGAGCCATCTGAGCAGCTGAGAAGCTCCATCAAGGAACCAAGACAAGGGTACTGAGGCAATGGACTCATTAGGAGCCCAAGAGGAGATAGGGCACACCAGGAGGTATGGGAAGGAATAGCTGAGAGTACTTCTCCCCCCACCCCCCGCCCCCCGCATGTGTTAGACTGGGAGGAATGTCAAGCAGCGCAATGCCCTGGTCCCCGGCGCCACCTGATTATTTAAAAGCGTTTTAGTGGCTTTCCTGTGGCATTTGGGTATTCAGCCCTCGTGGCAGGGTGCAGCTGCACCCCAGCACAGGAAATCCCAGCCTCAGGAGAAGTCCCATAAGGACCTAAGAAATGGCTTCTCGCGTAGTCTTTTAAACTCTCTAAGTTCCAGAAGTTTGGGGCCAGGAGGTGGGGGGGGGGAGCGATGGTCACAAGCAAACCGTGGAGAAGGGGTGTCCGCCCTCCTGATAAATGCCTCCCTCGCCCGCAGTAATCCCGAGTACAAGGACACACCCATGGATATCGCACAGCTCCCCCACCTGCCGGAGAAAACTTCGGAATCTTCGGAGACATCCGACTCTGAATCAGACTCTAAAGATACCTCAGGTATTACAGGTATTCCTCCTTCTCCATGTTCTACGCTCACGGCCGGCCTGCGCAAACACCAGGGGTGGGCGGCGGCCCCAGGGCCACCATTGCATGGGATGCAGACACATAGGTCGCATCAAATCGATACTGAGTCTCTCCCTCTCTGTACATCCGTGTGTATGTTTATGTATCACCACATACCTCTGTCCCCACCCATACGTACGTGGCATCTATACACACATACATACGTATGGTAAGGGATGTATCTATACACAAAGACACATTATTCTATAATATAACCCCAACATGCCTGTACATATACAAGCCTACAGACAGCCTGCTTGATTGAGCAATCACTCAGTGTCAGCCCTCCACTGGCCACACGGGAGTCCTGCCCTGACTTCACAGCCAGCTTTGGCCTCTTTACCAGAAGCAGTAGCCACTTTATTTCGCTGTCTCTAAGACAGTCTGTACCTTTGAGCCCCAGATATTCACATCTTTCCCGAGTTGGGGCTGAGCCTCCAAAGCAGGATACTTAAGGGCGTAGGTAAGGGGTTCTTTGGAAAGCAGACTTTCTGGTAGTTCTTTGGGGCTCGGGAAAGTTCATTTAAAAATCTACTTTCCCTCCAATCCCCAGCCCCCATTCCACAGACACGCTTAGGGCCAGGGAGCACAGAACTCACAGAGTTTGACAGCTGCAAAGAATCCTAAGCCTCTTCTGACCCAACGTCTTCCACAGAAATGAAGTAGTTCCGTGATTTGTCCAAGGTTGCAGGACAGCCCGCCTTCCGGAAGCATCACAGCAGAGCCACAAAATCAGCATCATCCCTAAATGTCCTGAGTTGTGTTACTGGGGAGAATCTATCTCCCTCTAATGTGCCAGGTGGCTAGGGGTCCCCCACCACCACCACCCTTCCATCCTTAGGGGCACCTGCTCTCCAGGCTTGTGCGCCCATATCCCTCTACTCTAGACAAAGCTTCAGGGAAGCGGAAGGAGGTGAAAAGCGCAGAGGGTCTTGACTGTTTTCCTATCCTAAACTGAATTCATTTGACAGTTCTTTACTTGGGCAGAAGTTCCAGAATAGACACGCTCTGCGCCTTATTCACCTACCAACATAGCAGGGAACAAAAAAGACAACAATCCCGCCACCCGCCCCGTGGAGCCTATAGTGTAGTCGGGGGAAGAGATCAAGGTGAATGAGAATAAGCACCACCTGATTCCCTGCACGGCTAAGTGCTCCAGAGAAAAACAGGAACGAGGAGTGTGGTTTTCAGTCATGAACAAACATGCACCAACGGGAAGTGCAGACGTCTGTAGAAAGCCACCTTGCACACCACCGTGCTTCTGTGTCGCTAACCTCTCATTCCAGATCATCGGCTCTGATGCCCCGAGTTGTTTTGTTTGTTTGTTTGTTTGTTTGTTTGCAGGACCTCCCAGAGGTTAGCGTGCCAAACGATCGCCCGGGGGATCTTGCTGAAATACAGAATCTGATTTAGCAGGCTTGGGTGAAAGGCTGGGACTGTGCATGTGTAACGCGCCCACACTTTGAGTAAAGGGCCCGCTGGCTAGTGGGAGCCTTGCAGAGGGAGAAGGCCCGGGCTCTAGGCAGCGAAGGTGGGGGAGCGGCTCAGGTGGGCCAACGCCCCGCCCCGCCCCGCCCCCCCCCCGCAGGTGCGTCCTGCCCTCCCGCCCTGCTAACGAGGTGTCTTTTGTCTCCCCTCCCCCCGCCCCCCGCAGAGGACAACGAGAATTCCAAGTCCGACGAGAAGGGTAACCAGTCCGAGAACAGCGAAGACCCGGAACCCGACCGGAAGAAGTCGGGCAACGCGTGCGACCACGACACGCACTGCCACGACGACGGGCGCAGCTCCAGCAACCCCGACAGCCGCGACAGCGACGACAGCTTCGAGCACTCGGACCTTGAGAACCCCAAGGCGGGCGAGGACGGCTTCGGCGCGCTGGGCCCCATGCAGATCAAGGTGGAGCGCTACGTGGAGAGCGAGTCGGACCTGCGGCTGCAGAACTGCGAGTCGCCCACGTCCGACAGCGCCAAGGACTCGGACAGCGCGGGCGAGGCGGGCGCGCAGGCCTCCAGCAAGCACCAGAAGCGCAGGAAGAGGCGGAAACGGCAGAAGGGCGGCAGCGCCAGCAGGCGGCGCCTGTCCAGCGCGTCGAGCCCCGGCGGCCTGGACGCGGGCCTCGTGGAGCCGCCGCGCCTGCTGTCCTCCCCCCACAGCGCCTCGGTGCTCAAGATCAAGACGGAGATCTCGGAACCCATCAACTTCGACAACGACAGCAGCATCTGGAACTACCCGCCCAACCGCGAGATCTCCAGGAACGAGTCCCCCTACAGCATGACCAAGCCCCCCAGCGCCGAGCACTTCCCGTCGCCGCAGGGTGGGGGCGGGGGCGGGGGCGGCGGCGGCGGCGGCGGCGGGGGGGGGCTGCACGTGGCCATCCCCGACTCGGTCCTCACCCCGCCGGGCGCCGACGGCGCCGCCGCCCGCAAGACTCAGTTCGGCGCCGCGGCCCCCGCGGCCCTGGCCCCCGTCGCCGCCGACCCGCTGTCGCCCCCGCTCTCGGCGTCCCCGCGGGACAAGCACCCCGGGGCGGGCGGCGGCGGCGGCGGCGGCGGGGGCGCGGGGGGCGGCGGCGGGGGCGCGGGGGGCGGCCCCAGCGCCGCCAACTCCTTGCTGTACACTGGGGACCTGGAGGCGCTGCAGAGGTTGCAGGCGGGCAACGTCGTGCTCCCGCTGGTGCACAGGGTGACGGGGACCCTGGCCGCCACCAGCACGGCGGCGCAGAGGGTCTACACCACCGGCACCATCCGCTACGCGCCCGCAGAGGTGACCCTGGCCATGCAGGGCAACCTGCTGCCCAACGCGCACGCTGTTAACTTCGTGGACGTTAACAGCCCCGGCTTCGGCCTCGACCCCAAGACGCCCATGGAGATGCTCTACCACCACGTGCACCGGCTCAACATGTCGGGACCGTTCGGGGGCGCCGTGAGCGCCGCCAGCCTGACGCAGATGCCCGGCGGCAACGTGTTCACCACGGCCACGGCCGAGGGACTCTTCTCCACGCTGCCCTTCCCCGTCTACAGCAACGGCATCCACGCGGCACAGACTCTGGAGCGCAAGGAGGACTGAGGCGCCCGCGCGGGCCCGCCCGAGGCGTCGTCGGCGTTTTCGTTCAGACCTTTTGATTCTAGCACTTTGAATTCGAGCAGGTCGGCGTCCTCGCGACACCGCGGCCCCCTTGCACCCCCTCTTTCTTTACCTTGACTTATTCTTTCCCGTAAAGATATTGTTTATTTTTTGCCTTCGGAGAGTCAGATGACCCGTTGCCTGCCGTTTTGTCTTCTTCTGAGATGTGTGTTGGGTTGTTTTGCTTTCCTTTGCGTCTTTATTAAGATGTCTTTAATGTGTATATGCCTCTGCCATAGAATACTCAGTCTTGTGGTCAAGAGATTTCTCAAGTGACAACCATCGGGTTTCTTCACCAAGATCTTGATGTGATCAAGATTGAAAGAGACAAGCATAAACAATGTGCCCTGTTTGACTAAGTCAGATGAAATGGGGTGTCGTTTTGTTTTGTTCTATTTCGTTGTTTTGGTTTTGGTTCTGGTTCCTAATTCCTTTAAAAAATAGGGGGATAGTATTTTAGGACTTTATGCAGAATTTGATTCTCTTTTTATGGTTAAGATTTTAAGATTTTCTTACTTGCACATAAAAATAATTTGGGTTCTTAAACTTAATTTCTGGCCTGTGACTAGAATGTTTAAAAAAAAAAAAGTTGGACTAAATGTTAATTACTGAAACATTAACTTAATTTCTAAAACCATGGTGCTATCATTTATTAATCTGTAATGTCTTCATACAAAATGCAGCTCCTGGGCTGGGTTTTGGAAAAAAAAAAAAAAAAAAAATGTGTTCTGTCCTGGTCTGGAGTCCGCTGCTGCAGTCTCCTTGGTTAGTTAAGACAAAGCCCTCATTAACGTTTGCTGCAGGACTTAAAATTTTTTACCTCCCAACTAACAAACATAGCCTCACGTTAAATTTAATGGGTCAGTAAAGCCCTTTTTAAAGGGGCCTTTGGAAAACTCAATCAGCTGATTTGAGGAGCAGTTTAGGTACATACTGCCTTTTGTTGAGCTGTTTTTCTTTTCTTTTTTTTTTTTTTTTCCTTTTCTCAGTCTAACTGAGGCTAATTTTTTGCGACTTCAGTAACACTTCAGAGTAAACGAAGGAAAAGATATTTAACATCTTTTTTATTTCTTTTTCATTTCTTGCTAAAAAAAAAAAAAAGGGAAGGTTGTATTTGGGGGGACTGATTTGATTTGATGGCATTTTTTTTTCCCCTTTGGTTCTCTTATTTCTAGGTTGAAACCAGTACGGTTTAAAACTAAAGAGTGGGTTGATAAGCTTCAAACAGATAACTGCAACTGAAAACCGCACATTAAGTTAAAAAAAAAAAAAGAAAAAAAAAAAAAAAAAAGAAAAAAAAGAAAAAAAGGAAAAAAAGAAAAAAAAAGAAAAAGAAAAAAAAATCTCCTATTTTGTCTTTGTTGCCAGAAATCAGTGTAGTGTCAAACACTCCAAATGACTGTCAAGTATAAATTCTTCCTCCACTCCATCTTTGGCAGCTGTTTTTAAGGCATCTAATAACAGATGTGAGAACTGTAACGTGTGCAATGTGTACGTGTCCTTGGCTGTCGGCCCCATTGCAGTTTCAATGTGTGTTGCTATATGCAGTATATACTAAGCTAATGTAGTTGTTTTGTCCTTTGTCTTCTCTGTGCTCTCTCTCTAGTCCGGAGTGGTCCAGTCCCATTCCTGCAGTCCTAGTGAATCAGTGATTCTTGGGGGTTAGTGAGTTTTGTGTGGTGGCCTTCCTCTGTAACGTCACCCTATGCTGCTTCCACTGTCTGTGAATCTTTCGTTCCACTTTTTAAAATCCCTGCTGTTGCTTTGCTGGTGTATATTCTCCCGACCTCTCCTTCCTGTCCCTCCCTCTCTTGTCTCCCCTTCTCCCTCCAATCTATCCTCCACCCACCCACCCTTACCCCGCCCCCCCCCCACACCCTTCCCCAAAACCTTTTTCATTCTCAGAGATAAAAAGACTCTTAACTAGCTCAAGGTTAATGGAGCCATTTTTCCCACAATGGAGTTCTGGGTATGACTTTTTCTTCTGGAGTGCAACACAAAGCACTGAAGAATAACGCTCAGATATTTTAAATAATTGATGCCACAGAGCCTCAGTTGTTAACATTCCCAGAGTCCCTTGTGCTCTACCTAAGCAGTGGGTGCTTTTCTTTGGTTTCCTTCCAGGTTGGCTGATGGAGCAATATATAAAGCAATTACCAGTGAGACAGAAAATTATTTCAAAGGTCAACCCACATTTTTTAAAAACAAAAGGGGAGGGGATAATGGAATATAGAACTGTCATATATATTTGTTTATGTGTGCAATGCTGATATAGTAATTCGGCTGTCCTTTGAATATCACTGTGTTGCGTGGTTTCCTCTAGGACCTTTGATGCCATGAGTCGGGCCCACATCACTGTGGAATAAGAATAACTAAAAGAAGTGAAATGCCACAAATTTTAATAGTGAGCTTACTTGAAGGATTTAAGTAGGTTTAGAAGGTGAAGAAGGCCAGTCATGATATTTAAAGATTAATTTTGGAAGCTCTACTCTAGCTATCGAACAATCAAAGGAATGCACCTATCAGCTACAAAGAACAGCTAGACAGCTGTTTTTTTTTTTTTCTTTTATAAATGTTTCTGTGTTGTGTCAAAATGATTTCTGGTGATTTAAACTAACAGATAATCACAGCTGCTGTCTAAATCCATAGTGTTTAAAATTACAAAATGAAAAAAAAAACACTTCATTACCTGTGAAGACTGTGTCTGTGTTTTTAACTATTTCTTGTACAAATATATGAAAACTTTTATGAGGAGACTGGTGCCAAGTAGCTGAATAATGGGGAAAGGGATATTCTGTTCGTAAAAATCTTAGCAGTGTTACCAACTCTACAATATATATATAAAAAAAAATTAAAACGTTACAAAGCGACAGCTATGGTACATTTGTTTTGTGTGAAGCTAACCGGACCTAACTTCCTGAGTGCCTGGCTTATTTTGAAACATTTTTTTTTCATTGACCATTGATAATGCTGCAAATCAGAAATGTACATACTTCATTTACAACAGGGTTCTTTTTATACTTTTGTAGATTCTCATACATGTCACATACATGGTTGTCTTTATGTAACTTAATTTTTTCATCCGCAGGTGCCATTTTCATAATAAACTTCTCTTGGATTTGTTACTATCTGGCATCATTTCTTTTACATGTAACCATCCTAACTAATGAGTGCTGGTAGTATTTGTTTAAGCAGGTACCTTGGTCATTACTATTGATTTTTTTTCTTAAAAAGTTCGAAAAAAAAAAGATGCATCCATATTTTTGCTAGTTTTGGAAAAAAAAATGCATAGCTTGTGTCATGATGAGGCTGACAAGGCACAGATTAAGATGCTAATCCAAATACTACACCAAACTTGCAACCATCCTAAATTTTCAGCTACCCCAACTCATTGTCATACTGAGCATTATTATGCACATTATCAAAGCTGAACAGTGGGCCTGCATGGTAACCACTACGGGAAGTGTGCATTTTTTCTTGATTAATGCACAGTAAGTGATGACAGTTTTCATACATTAATCATTGAAAATGCACTCGATATTTTCATTTATTACAATCTATAATGTATAACCAACTGTTCCATTGCTTATATCGTCTCTTTATACTAAATATGTATTTTCTTTCTCCAGACAAGCGACTAAGTCACGATTGTGCTGTTATTGGTTAGGTCAGCGCGCGCATGCAGCCTGTCACGTTTGAAGGCAGGTCAGCTGGCTAGAAAAAAAGAACAAAGAAAGAAAGAAAGAAAGAAAGAAAGAAAGAGAGAGAGAGAAGAGAAGAAAGAAAGAAAGAAAGAAAGAAAGAAAGAAAGAAAGAAAGAAAGAAAAAAGAAAGAAAGAAAGAAAGAAAAATAGAAAGAAAGAAAACTTCAGCTTGCTATCTCCCAGATAAGGATACAGATGGGTCACAAGTTAATTCTGTGCTCTCCAGAAAATGAAGAGAGAGGAACAGGTTGAGCTGAAGCAGAAGGCAAACACTTTTGTCCCAAAGCCACCAACCATAGTAAATGTCACTCCCTAGTTTAAGTCTTCAGTAACATTTGCCAATTTGAGGGTACTGTTTATTAGTGGAGGCTGGCATCAGACTAGTGGATATGGAAATGTGGCCACAGTGGTAGGGCCCTAGGTTTCTCCACCCTGTCCTCTCCGGGTCCTTGAAATAAATACTTGGAAATTGGAAATAGGGAGAAGGTAATTAAGAACACCCAGTTGGGTTCTCCCTGTGTTTCCAAAATGTTTCCTGCTCTTTTGCTCCCGAGAGTCAGAAGAATATAGTACAGCAAGATTGACAGGTCAAAACCTGATGAGGCTGGAAGCTCCATCCTGAACAGAGTGGGTGCGGAAGCCAGCCTACCCAAGCCATTCAGTCTGGTAGGCCCTGCCGAAGCTGGCTCTTAGTGGTGGCCTCCAGAGCTTTGTCCGGGGCGGGGGGACAGGAGGCGGGGGGTGGGGGCTGTCTGCCAAGGCAGAGTGGCAATTAGAGGAGCGTGGCACTAGGGCTGACCCTCTGTCAGCTGACGGCAATGTTGATTGGCCATAACACTTTATTCCTGGACCCTGCTTCAGCCCTGTGATCTGCAGGTGGTGGCAAGGAGAGTTGAAAAGCAGCAGCTGGCCAGGGATGGGTGACATGAAATCCTCACAGCATCTGGAGCTTCGGCAGTGGAAGTGGTGGAAATCCTGGATTTCTTACCCAAGCTCAAGCCTCCCTTAGTATCAGCAAGTTCCCTGTCCTTTATTTGTACCCATCAATGCTAAAATATGTCACTAATGAAATAATAAACATCTCTGGGCCAAAAAGAGAGCAAGCGAGCTCTGGGCTCAGACCCACTGTCAAGGAAGCCCTGCCATTTCCCCAGCCCCGGGGCTGGCAGCCAAGCCAAGGCCTGAGCTCCCAGAGGCACAGGACCTCTCCCTTGCCAGACTGGCGGCAAGTCAATGTGTCAAGGCTCCAGTTTGCAGGTCGTGGACAGAACAAGGATCTGTCGCCAGCTCCCTGTACCCTTCCTCTTCTCTTTCCCAGCCAATACCGATTCTTGTTTATTTGGCAATAAGGAACAAGAAAAAAAAATTTTCAAAAAAGGCAGCAGGTGGGATGTGAGGGAAGCCATGCTCTAGATGAGCATAAGGAACTATTGTAGTCCTTGTGGACCATAATTCTTACCCAGCTTTGCCTCCCCCTCGACAAAGCCTGTTTCTACCGAGCATGTTTAAAACAATTTGAAGCCAACCTGGCCTGGGCATTGCATTGAAGGTAAGAGATAATGTTGAATGTCAAGCCTGGAAGCTAGTCTGTTCAAGCTAAGATAATTACCCAGGTTCAAAAAGTAGAAAGAGTAGAAGACTTAGGAGAGAAAGAAAAATACCTTTGCCAATACTTCATACCACGTAGTGACAAAAGACAAGCCTTGTTCTTGAGCATAATTCCCAAAGAATGACAACAACTAGCAGGCTAAAGAAACAACTCTGGTGTGCTAAGGTAAGTGATCACCCTCAGCTGCTCCTGCTTTCCTGTATCTCCTAAGGAATCATGATAAAGAAGGGGGGCTGACCGGGTGGACCACAAGCACTAACCATGGCTTGCTCACCTTCATGTCCCCTTAGTGCCTTGCTCAGTGATTCACAAATAGTCTTTGCTCAGTAAAGATCTGCAGAATACTGATGGATGAGGACATGTGAAAAGGGAAGGGAAGGGAAGGGAAGGGAAGGGAAGGGAAGGGAAGGGAAGGGAAGGGAAGGGAAGGGAAGGGAAGGAGGGAGGGAGGGAGGGAGGAAGGAAGGAAGGAAGGAAGGAAGGAAGGAAGGAAGGAAGGAAGGAAGGAAGAGAGGAAGAAAGAAAGGAGAGGAAACATGACTTGTCAAGAAGCAGAGATCCCACTAGAAATGTCCATGTGGTATTGCAAGATAGCTTGAGTTTCTATCAAGAAAGGAATAGCAAAATGGACAAAGCAACAAGTGTGTTCATTCCCACCTCCCTGGGGAGTCCAAACAGCTGGCACAGAGTTGGCCCGCAATAAATGTTGGCTGGAGGATGGGTATATGTGTCAATAACACAATCTATTCTGTATGCAGCAATAAATTAGGCACATCAAATAGAGAAAGGAAGAAGAAGAAAGAGCCCAAGTAGTTGCTAACTTAGTAAACTCTGACATCATATGCCATGGACAGCTATGTAAATGTATCTTAGATGCTCAAGAAGGTATCCTTTAATAACAGATCCTCACTGGTGAGCTGTAAACTGAGGCATCATCCAGAGGATCTTAGCAACTCTCAGGTAGAAATCACATCTCCTGGGACACCTGGATGGCTCAATGGTTGAGCATCTGCCTTCAGCTCAGGTCGTGATCCCGGTCCTGGGACCGAGTCCCACATCCAGCTCCCTGCAGGGAGCCTGTTTCTCCCTCTGCCTGTGGCTCTGCCTCTCTCTGTGTGTCTCTCATGAATAAATGAATAAAATCTTAAAAAAAAATCATGTCTCCTTAATTTGAGTGGTGAGGGTCTTTCTAGCCCACTAATCGACAGTTGTAATTTCTAGAGGATGCTGAGCGGAAATCTTACCTCTGGAGTTAAATGGGGCCCTCTGCTGTCTGAGTGGCCTTCAAAGATGTGAAGATGGCTATCAGAGGCCCATGCCTCTCCAGGCTGTCACCTGTTCTTCCAGTTGTTTCTCCAGCGGCACCATGGCAGATGCCTTCACTAGTCTGGACACTCCCATCTGGGTTTACAAGAATTCATCAAGGCCCCTGTATCTCTCTCCTAGGGCTGCCTTATTACCACGAACTGAGTGCCTGGAAACAAATGTATTGTCTCCCAGTTCTGGAGGATAGAAGCCTGAATTCAGGGGGCCAGCATGGTCAGTTTCTTTTGGCAGGCTCTGAGAGAGAGCGTAGGCATGTTTCTCTCCTAGCTTCTCGTGGGCTACTGGCAATCCTTGGCACTTCCTTCACTTGTGAGTTCATCACTCTGATCTCTGCTTCCATTTCCATACAGCCATCTGCCCCTTCTGTGTCTCTATGTATTCAAATGGTATGCTCCCCACTGGGTCTCTCCTCTTCCAATAAGGACACCAGCCATACTGGATTATGAGCCCACTCCACTCCAGTATGATCACATTGTAACTAATTACATCTACAATACTGTAGAAAGAAGAAAATGAAATCATTATCATGTGCAGAGTTACCGAGGTTATGACTTCAACTTTTTGAAGGACATAATTCAACCTATAAGAGGTCTGATTAAAATATGGCACTTTGGGCCAATCACAGATCTCCAGGTGTCATCTGGTGCCAACATGGAAAAGAAGTCCCATTACATCTCTTGCTCGTGACTCTGAACTCTTTGCAGGGGGGGGTGCGGGCAGGGGTATTTTTTTTTTTTTAAGTAATCTCTAAACCCAACATGGGGCTTAAACTCACAACCTGGAGATCAAGAGTTGTATGCTCTACCAACTGACCCAGCCAGGTGCCCTAGGACTCTGAGCCCTTAATTAAAACAGACTGAGAGTGCAGTCACTTCTTAGCAGCCACATCAAATTGTTATCTCATCTTTAGCCTCTAGTCAACAAGAACACCTTGGTTTATTCACCTTGGTTAAGGTAGGTAGGTCTTCGACCTCCTATATGTATATAACCCTCATGTGACGTTGGCACGTGCCTAGGTAAAAAGCAATTTGAGGAAAGCAGTTCACTAGTTCATTAGGTATGGAAGGAGAGCAAGAGCCTGTCCCTGTGAGAACACATTTCTCATTCTCATTGTACTTTACATGCCCTCTGAGACCACTTCACCCTGCCCTGCTGGAGAGGTGAGCCCTGGCCGCAGTATCTACGAAAGCATTGTGGCACGTAACACATCCACAACAAAGATTCCCAGTGGGCTGAGGCAGGGGAAAAAATGACCAAGAGAAGGAAATGGGAAAAACTGGACAAACTACCATATCAGCCCTTCTATGGTGGCAGAATGGGGTTAGCGGTGCCAAGACTCCTGATATGTTTGAGTAAAATCATCCACTCAAAATTCAAGAAGGCATCATGAGGCCAAACTCATCAACTTTCTGAAAATGAATGGGCCTCCTTTTGTCTCCCTTT